TAACCAGAGGCGCCTGAGCGTCGGCAGATACGGATGGAGGTATGACATCATCTTCATCAGACAGACCAGTGATTCTCACACTCTTTCATCAGCTGAACCATTAGACAGAAATATTTACTTGAAGTCCACCTGAGGTTAATATTTCAATAATTTATCAACACATTCACGGTTCTCTGATGTCAGTTAACGGTCACATGATATGCAGCTTACTCCAGTCTTCAGTGTCACATGATCTTCAGAAATCATTCTAATATGCTGATTTGCTGCTCAAGAAACATTTCTGATTATTATCAATGTTGAATATTTAGTGAATATATAAACATTTGTCTTAAATTCATCACTTTCAAATGTTCGAACCTTTGAGCTTTTCACATATCACATCCTCAACTTTTATTTTGTGTGAATATTGGTGCGAATATGAATGTAAATAAAGTGAATCTAGCGCATTTACTGTACAGTAAACCAAGCTGCTCTGAAAACACATATATAAATGAACACAGTGCCGCTCTTCACTCTGAAACACGTATATACTTCTATAAATCGCAACCTTGATTTGATAATCATGATTTAATAAGACATATCACTAATTCAGGTTTATTTTAATTAATTGTGCAGCCCCATTTGTTTATTTTAATGTTACATTTAGTTTAATTCATTCTTAGCTTTTCATCGACTCACAAACCCCAGTTTGGGAAACCCTAAGTTAGCCTATAACATACTGAGGATCAATTGCTTGATTTCATCACATCCACTGGAGCAACATGAGGTGATTAACATCAGTTTACAAAAGAATTACTAAAGTTATTTTCCCTATATTTTCTAGAGCGAACAGTAGCCGCATCAGTCCAGGGACGTACGGATACAGCAGGATGCCATATGTAACGTCTCTACAGAAAGAATCCAGCCGAACGTCCCACAAACAGAGACGTTCAGCATCAAACTTCCCACACCAGAGTTACAGGACTCATCAGAGAAACCCGTATCAAAACACCCGCCATCACACAGCCGCCCAGCCGCCCACTGCTGCCCAACACACCCAACCGCAGATGAACACAGCGGCAGTGCAGAGCAGACCGTACAACCCGCTACCAAACACCTCCTGCCCTGGAGCCCCGAACCGGCACAAGATCTGCAACAGCATGGTAACATCTGCAGAGAAACTCCTCTGGTTATACCTAAATATGCATTATACATCCGTTTATAACAGTTCATTCCAGTAACACTTTAGACATTCTACTAACTATAAGTAACTTTTCAACTACATGTCATCTAGCAGTCATTAGAATATTAGTAGTCTGTCTGCTTAATATCTACTAACACTTTATTTTGATGGACATTCAACTGACTATAAGTGAATTTGCAACTACATGTCAATTTATTCTACTAACCCTAACCTTAATCTAATAGTCTACTTATACTCTAATGAGAGTTATTTGACATGTAGTTGCAAATTAATGAGAATTTGTTGACATGTAGTGCAAATTAATGATAGTTAATTGACATGTAGTTGCAAATTAATGAGAATTTGTTGACATGTAGTTGCAAATTAATGAGTTAGTTGACGTAGTTGCAAATTAATGATAGTTGACTTGTAGTTACAAATGAATTAGAGTTTGTTGACATGTAGTTGCAAATGAATGATAATTTATTGACATATAGGTGCAAATTAATGAGTTGAAGTTGCAAATTAATGAGAATTTGTTGTCATGTAAGTTGCAAAGTAATGAGTTAGTTGGACAGTAGTTACAAATTATTGAGGATTTGTTGACATGTAAGTTGCAAAGTAATTAGTTAGTTGACATGTATTTGCAAATTAATGATAGTTGACGTATTTACAAACGAATGAGAGTTTGTTGACGTAGTTACAAATGAATGAGAATTTATTGAAATGTAGGTGCAAATTAAGGAGTTAGTTGACGTAGTTGCAAATTAATGATAGTTGACTTGTAGTTACAAATGAATTAGAGTTTGTTGACATGTAGTTGCAAATGAATGATAATTTATTGACATATAGGTGCAAATTAATGAGTTGAAGTTGCAAATGAATGAGAATTTGTTGACATGTAGTTGCAAATTAATGAGTTAGTTGACGTAGTTGCAAATTAATGATAGTTGACTTGTAGTTACAAATGAATTAGAGTTTGTTGACATGTAGTTGCAAATGAATGATAATTTATTGACATATAGGTGCAAATTAATGAGTTGAAGTTGCAAATGAATGAGAATTTGTTGACATGTAGTTGCAAATTAATGATAGTTAATTGACATGTAGTTGCAAATGAATGAGAATTTGTTGATATGTAGTTGCAAATTAATGAGAGTTAATTGACATGTAGTTGCAAATTAATGAGAATTTGTTGACATGTAGTTGCAAATTAATGAGTTAGTTGACATGTAGTTGCAAATGAATGAGAATTTGTTGACATGTAGTTGCAAATTAATGATAGTTAATTGACATGTAATTGCAAATTAATGAGAATTTGTTGACATGTAGTGCAAATTAATGATAGTTAATTGACATGTAGTTGCAAATTAATGAGAATTTGTTGACATGTAAGTTGCAAAGTAATGAGTTAGTTGACATGTAGTTACAAATTATTGAGGATTTGTTGACATGTAAGTTGCAAAGTAATTAGTTAGTTGACATGTATTTGCAAATTAATGATAGTTGACGTATTTACAAACGAATGAGAGTTTGTTGACGTAGTTACAAATGAATGAGAATTTATTGAAATGTAGGTGCAAATTAAGGAGTTAGTTGACGTAGTTGCAAATTATTGAGAATTTGTTGACGTGTAGTTGCAAAGTAATGAGTTAGTTGACATGTAGTTACAAATTAATGAGTTAGTTGACGTAGTTACAAATGAATGAGACTTTGTTGACATGTAGTTGCAAATTATTGAGAATTTGTTGACGTAGTTAAAAATTAATGAGAATTTGTTGACATTTAAGTAGCAAAGTAATGAGTTAGTTGACATGTTGCAAATTAATGATTGTTGACATGTAGTTACAAATGAGTGAGTTTGTTGACATGTATGTGCAAATTAATGAGTTAGTTGACATGTAGTTGCAAATTATTGAATTTGTTGATATGTAAGTTGCAGAGTAATGAGTTGACATTTAGTTGCAAATTAATGAGTTACTTGATGTAGTTACAGATGAATGAGAGTTTGTTGACATGTAGGTGCAAATTAATGAGAATTTATTGACATGTAGGTGCAAATTAATGAGAATTTGTTTACATGTAGTTGCAATTGAATGAGAGTTAGTTGACATGTAGTTGCAAATTAATGAGAATTTGTTAACTGTAGTTAGTTGCAAATTAATGAGTTAGTTGACATGTAGTTGCAAATTAATGAGAATTTTGTTGACGTAGTTGCAAATTAATGAGAATTTATTGACATGTAGGCCTAGGTGCAAAGTAATGCAAATTTGTTGACATATAGTTGCAAATTAATGAGTTAGTTGACATGTAGTTGCAAAGTTAATTACAGTTAGTAGAATGTCTAAAGTGGACTATCAGAATAAAGTGTAACCTTAATATCTATTGACTTTTCACATAACATTTAACTGTTTAACATTATTATTACACCCAGGAAAAGGGCATTTTTAACCTTGAGCTTTTAAAGGGGTTTGCATCGCTTTGACTCATGAAATATTCACACACTTTTACAGCAGCACAAACTTTCATGCGCTGTGTTTAGTTTCAGCATCTGAAGGAAACTGATGCTGTTTGAAAACACTGAAGAGATGCAAGATATACTCACAAAACTAAAAGCAGTGTGTGTTTATGAATTGACAGGCCTGTCCGTCACCCAGCAGACCAATCCGAGAGCTGCAGTGCTCCACGTTCAACACGCAGCCCTTCATGGGCCGATTCTACCAGTGGGAACCTTTTTATGACGGTGAGCAGATTCTCTCAGTTCATGACATGAATGAGCTTCTTCTGATGGAAAGAATTTAGAGATATTAAAGTTTCACAGGGATTCAAGACATTTCATACACTGTTTCTTCTTACAGTACCATTCAAAGGTTTGGGGTCGGTAATTTTAAAGTACATTTTACAATATATTAATGTAGAAAACAGATATATTAAATTGTAATAATATTTCACAATATTACTGTTTTTACTGTATTTTTGTTAAACCAAATAAATGCAGCCTTGATGAGTAGAAGAAACTTCTTTCAAAAACATTTTTAAAAATCTGACCAACCCCAGAACTTTTCCTGTCAGAAATCTGTTCTGTTACCCTGAGGAGAGAGAAACATCCTGAATGACACACACATATTTGTGTTGTTAATTAGCTCTAATGATCATGTTGTAATTAAAGTTACAGTCATATTTCAGTGAGTTCATTTGTGTTGCCGTGGATTTTCCCAGCATGTCGGATCCTGTGCAACAGTGAATGTTCTCCTCTGAACAGATCTGATTTATGAACTGTGAAACTGCGCCAGTGTTTGATTCAAATTCACTTATGTTTATGGTCTGTGTGGAATATTATTCTACCCGCAGGCGATAGATGAGCCAACAGTGGAGTCGTGCCAAAGTGTTGTCTTGATGACAAAACAGTTTCTTTTCAACACAGAGAATCAAATGAATTTTTTGGATTTATTCTGGTTTATTTCACCTTCATCACGTGTCTTTGATGTTTTCTTTTCAGGCGTCTGATTCAGTTGTGCATTAGTACTAGAGCTCATAGTGATTTTACCCTCATAACGCATTCGGGTCCGTTTTGACCCAGAAGAGAGATTTGCAATAAAACTTTGCAAATGCTTTAAGACACAAAATATACGTCATTTATTATTTTTATGTATTTATTTTTAATTTTATTTTTTAATTTTTTAATAAATGTTTATTTTTAAAGAGATTTTAAAACCCATTTTTAAAAAAAGTTACACGCTTAATGTCCAGGTCATTTTGACCCAGGTGTGTATGGAGTACCATTAGTGTCAAAAATACTTTTTGTAAAATTATCTATGAAGTTATATTAGGCTACGTCCACACGAAGCCAGAGCTTTCCGATCTTTTTTTTCAGCTCGTCTCAAAAAATATCTGCGTCCACATGAAACCAATGTTGTATACATGCCAGACCAGTATGTGGCGCTGGGCGGCGACGTGGGCTGATGACGTCATCGTTTCAGAAAATATACGGATTCGCTGTCCACACGAAAACGCAAGGGCGGCGTTTTCAGATATATCGGTTTCGCGTGGACAAAATGCCTATACGATACAAAATGTATGCGTATACAACAAAACGCGTCTCCGTGTGGACGGGGCCTAAGTCTAAAAAAAACCTTGTAAAATATACTCAAATACTGTAGACTCAAAAAAAAAACTTTGTAAAATATATAAAGCATAGAGTTTTGTTGATGAACAATGAATATGTACGTATTGACAAACCATTGAAGCATGAAAATGTATCACTTTTTTCATCTGAAGGTGAAGGTTTATGCAAGTAAAATGACTTTATTTTGTTTGGAAACTTTCCTAATAATAAGTATTATTTATATAGTTTCGATGGTGTTTTGTTTCAAAATGTAGGTTTCATATAGATTTATGGAGTTCTAAATTCACATAAATATAATTAAATTCCATTTGTTCCAGTGGGGTTAATACTGGTAATTCTTCCGATTATATGTTCTTATTTCATGCAATGATTTATTCAAATAAAATTTATCATTTTGTGTGTGGTTCATGTGCAATTTGAAATGTAAGAATTTCTAAATTTTTAATTAATACAAAATGCAGTAATTACATGGTAACATGAAAAAAAAAGAGTAGTTTTTTCACATTCACTCATTAATGAGAAGTTGCAGATCAGATACACTATGGTTTTGGTGTAGTTGACTCCGTCTCTTATGTGTTTGATCAGTTTCCAGCGAGCAGCGCTGTGAGCTCAACTGCCGCGCCGTCGGCTTGCGTTTCTACGTTCGTCAGGCGGACAGAGTCATCGACGGCACTCCGTGTGGACAGAACCAGACGTCTGTGTGTGTGGCGGGACAGTGTCAGGTAGGAATCAGGTGTTCACTGCACTATTATGCTTCCAGATGTAATTTTTTGACACGTTCTTCTTAGACATTTATATACTAGACTGAATTAGATATGCAAAGTAAGTGTATTAATTAATGAGTAGCATGCTTCTGCTAATGCACAGTGCATATGGTTTCATATGCAGCACAGTATTAAGTGCTGGAGCTGCAGTGCTGCATGCGGTTGTGCAGTGGAGGGCAGTAGAGATAAATGGAGATGAAAACATCACACAGCTGTTATGCTCTTGTTGTTTCCTGTCATTTACAGTGACTCGAGCGTATGTCTGACAGCTCAAGGGATTGCATCTTGTGTCTCTGTGATTTGAGTTTCTAGTCCAGATAATTTACAGCCTCAAAGTATCAGCATCATACTATAATATCCTTACTGTGATGTAAATATTGATATATTATTCAGCTTGAAATGTAAATTTCAAGTATTACAGTGTTTGTTTTTATTAAATGCTGATTTTTATGGAAAGCATGGTAATGCTTTACAATATTTTTTTTTGTTAGGATGTTAGTTAACATGAACTTGCAATAAACAAAATATCAAAATCATTTATTTATTGTAATAAATGTTAATTTCAACAATACATTTTGTAATACATTGTAATAATATTTATTTATTTATAATAAACAAACATTAATAAAGATGCTTTAGGAAATATAGGTAACATTTTATTTTAAGGTGTCCTTGTTACACGTTACATGTATTTACTATTATAATAACAATTAATTATGCATAATTACATGCAAGTAACCCTAATTCTAATCCTAACCATATAGTAAGTACATGTAGTTAATTAATATTACTCAGTACTTAAATGCATAATTACACTGTAACAAGGACACCTTAAAATAAAGTGTAACCGAAATATATTTATCATCGTTAGTTCATGTTAACTAATGCATTTACTAATTAACTAGTTAACAAATGTGACTTTATTGTAAAGTGTTACCAAAAACAGGATGATTTTCATTATTGCATTACAGTAATGAGAATTTAAGGATAAAATGTGCTGATTTGTCATAAAAAGTGTGTCATATTGTGAAAGTGTCTTAAGAATACGCTTCTTATTGTTCTGGGTGTGATACAGAGATATTAGAGTTGACTAAAACTAAAATCATAATAAACATTTTCGCTACGTGAAATAAAATAAATGTTAACTGAAGTAAACTAAAATATTACAAACTTTTATTTATAAAATTAAAAGTTTTATTTCAACCAGTTGCCATGGCAACATTTCTCATTTTCATTTACTTGATGTACTAAAGTAACTAAAACTGAAATAAAAACTAATAAAAGCTACACAGACATTAAAAAACAATGACAAAAACACAAGAGAATTAATAAAACTTTAATATTAAAATTAAAACTGAAAATGTAAAAATAAAGTCTAATTCAAAATTTTATAAAAATTTTTAATAGTATCTCGATTTCTTCATGAAAACAGAATTTTAGTCATGTGTTGTCGATCATCTCTGTCATCCGTATTAAAGCTCTTCTCTTACAGATATATTGTTCTGCTATTTCATCTGATCTTCCGTTATCTGTTTTTCGGATAAGCGTTAATTACCCAGAGTTCAGAGCGGCGTGCCACATCCTGCATGTAAAGACTGTCAGACGCACAACAGTTGCCGGCTGTCTGAGCCGGAGGATCTTTTGTGTTTGTGAGTGAATTAGCCACGCTTTCAGCGCTCCGGAATCTGCCCGTCGTCCAGCTGTGCTTTTTTCAGACGTCACTTCAACAAATCCAGCACAAATAAGATGTAACACAGACGCCGCAATAACAAGCCGCGGTGCAGGCCAGGGCTGCACAAACGCCACTGTCTGCAAAGGTTAAATAATGCGGCGACGGCTCGATTCCGCCTCTGTAGGTTGTTTTGTGGCGTTTCTCTCAGATGCTTTGAATTCTTCTGACAGCTGACGGAGATCAGTCGACAAATCCAGAGCTTTAAGATCTCTTCCTCGGATAACGAGGAGGATCTGTGACGGGATGAAGATTACACACAACAAATCCACCGCATTAGCCTTGACATTCAGATGTGTTGGCTGGAACACCGTTTGGGTCGGATTTAGGGTGACTTTTCCAAAACTTGATTCAGTGAGCATTTGAAACTCAGCTAACATGATCATCAGTTTCTGTGTAAATATAAAAGAAACTTGATCACTGCATGAGAATGTTGTACTTGTCAGGGAGGTTGTAGTTATTTGGTATAAACAGGTTTTCTTGTCTGAGTGCGCATGTAGTTTCTATGAAACCTTGTTTCTGCCACATAATAAAACTAAAAAAGGTAATTGCAACATTTTATCTCACTATTCTACCATTTTTTCTTGCAGTTCTGACTTTACATCTCGCTATTCTGACTTTACATCTCACAATTCCGACTTTACATCTCACAATTCTGACTTTACATCTCACAATTCTGACTTTACATCTCGCAATCCTGACTTTACATCTCACAATCCTGACTTTACGTCTCGCAATTCTGACTTTACATCTCACAATTCTGACTTTACATCTCACAATTCTGACTTTACATCTCACAATTCTGACTTTACATCTCACAATTCTGACTTTACATCTCACAATTCTGACTTTACATCTCACAATTCTGACTTTACATCTCACAATTCTGACTTTACATCTCACAATTCTGACTTTACATCTCACAATTCTGACTTTACATCTCACAATTCTGACTTTACATCTCACAATTCTGACTTTACATCTCACAATTCTGACTTTACATCTCACAATTCTGACTTTACATCTCACAATTCTGACTTTACATCTCACAATTCTGACTTTACATCTCACAATTCTGACTTTACATCTCACAATTCTGACTTTACATCTCACAATTCTGACTTTACATCTCACAATTCTGACTTTACATCTCACAATTCTGACTTTACATCTCACAATTCTGACTTTACATCTCACAATTCTGACTTTACATCTCACAATTCTGACTTTACATCTCACAATTCTGACTTTACATCTCACAATTCTGACTTTACATCTCACAATTCTGACTTTACATCTCACAATTCTGACTTTACATCTCACAATTCTGACTTTACATCTCACAATTCTGACTTTACATCTCACAATTCTGACTTTACATCTCACAATTCTGACTTTACATCTCACAATTCTGACTTTACATCTCACAATTCTGACTTTACATCAATTCTGACTTTACATCTCGCAATTCTGACTTTACATCTCACAATTCTGACTTTACATCTCGCTATTCTGACTTTACATCTCACAATTCTGACTTTACATCTCGCTATTCTGACTTTACATCTCGCTATTCTGACTTTACATCACGCAATTCTGACTTTACATCTCACAATTCTGACTTTACATCACGCAATTCTGACTTTACATCTCACAATCCTGACTTTACATCTCGCAATCCTGACTTTACATGAGCTAATAATGACCAGTTGTATTTGTATTAACTAATGTTAACAAATATAAATAAGTACTATAACAGATGTATTGCTCATTGTTAATTAATGCATTAATGCAACTAATGGGAGCTTACTGTAAAGTGTTACCCTTTCATCATATGCCAAAGTAAATTTGTTTTCTATTTTTAATGAGTTTGCACATTTTTCAGCCGCTAAAACTTCACACAGAGATGAACAAACATGTGTTTAGGATCTATTTACTGTCCTGAAACGGTTTGGTGTGTTGGTAAATGCTGAAGCAGTGTAACTGCAGCTGTAGACGAGCCTGAGAGGGAATTTCACCGTTTCACACACTGAAGAAAAGAAAGAGCCTTTATGAAGGGAATCCCACTGAGCACTGAGCTAAGGCTGAATGCCAGAGGAGTATGTGTGTGTGTGTGTGTCTTTACAGCTGGAGTTCCCAAACTTTTTTTGTCATTGGAACCCTGTGACCTAATTTTTTTGCTTGAAATACCCCTGATTTTTAAAGCAATGTTTACCTTTCAAAATATAATGATATGTAATGGCATTGCATTCACATTGAAGCTTATTTCTGCCATGGGATAAAAAATATAAAAAAAGGCAAGTACATTTTTGTCTGAAAATTATGACCTTTTTTTTGCAGTTCCAAGTTTTTTTCCTCTGAATTCTGAGTTAACATCTAAAAAAAAAAAAATGTGAATTTTTTTTTATAAAAAATAATATTAATAAAAAAAGCCGTGGAATAAAAAATTAAAAAAGGTCATTTCAACTCGTTTCAACAAGTTTATCTCACACTGTTTATATATAAAGTTATATTTGCAAGTTTATATCTTGCAATTCTGACTTTGTTTTAGTTTTAGTGTAGTTGTTTTAGTTCACTGTAAAACACCTTAAGGAGTTTTTGTTAATTTTATTCATCACAGTTGCCCTATTTTTTAATTGAACTGCTACTGTAAATGAAGACTTTCTTTTTATTACTGCAGTATTTTTCTGTAAAGCTGCTTTGAAATTATGCACATTGTGAAAAGTGCTATATAAATAATATTGACTTGTTAATGAGTGCGATTGATGTCAGAGCTCCTGTAGTTCATGTCAGCAACAACACCAGAGTCACGGGTTTGATGCTCAGAGAATGCGTGAACTTATATAATATACGCTTTTAATGCAATGCGAGTCTCTTTGGATTAAAGCATCTGGCAGATGCATTCATGTAAATGCGGTGAGTTACGGCTCTGAACACTGCTCTCGCTCTTGACAGCATCAGTGACGGAGCCTGTGCGCTGAATGAGCGTGAGCGAGATGAAATACTGCAGGGAATCCCACCAGAAAACACAACAACAGGACTTTCCCATGATAGCTCAAACTGAGCTCCCGCTAACATATTTATAAAAGCAATAAAGGTGCAAATCTCATGTGCTTCACAGAGGGACATGAAAAGTAGCTTGGAAACATCATTTAAAATAATACCATGTTAATACCATGTTTTTGGAGTATGCATGTTTGCAAGGCAAATTTATTTTTATAGCACATTT